GACCCCCAAGTCCCCCCCCCACCTGCTCCATCCGAAGAGGGGGGGCAGGGAGGCGACGAGGCCGAAGATCCATGTGGCGGCGCAGCCCAGGACGGCGTGGCTGCCCCGGAAGGTGAAGTTGCCCAAGGGCTTGCAGATCACCAGGAACCGCTCGAAGGCCACCACCGCCAGCGACCACAGGCTCACCATGCCTGGGGGGGACACCCGACCCACACATTGACCCACAGCGCCCCACATCACCCCAAATCCACCCCATGGCCATCCCACATCGCCCCACGGCCACCACTGCCACCCTACAGCCACCCCGTGGTCACCATCATCACCCCATGGCCACCACCACCATCACCCCGTGGCCACCACCAGCGACCACAGGCTCACCATGCCTGGGGGGGACACCCGACCCACACATTGACCCACAGCGACCCATAAGGACCCCTTGATGGACCCACATCACCCCACAACCAACCCACATCGCCCCATGGCCACCACATATCGCCTTGTGGCCACCACCACCATCACCCCGTGGCCACCACCACCAGCGACCACAGGCTCACCATGCCTGGGGGGGACACCTGGACCCACACATTGACCCACAGCGACCCACAGCCACCCCATGGCCACCCCACATCGCTCCATGGCGACCACTATCAACCCGTGGCCACCATCATCACCCCATGGCCACCACCACCATCACCCTGTGGCCACCACCGCCAGCGACCACAGGCTCACCATGCCTGGGGGGGACACCCGACCCACACATTGACCCACAGCGACCCACATCACCCCACATCGCCCCACAAGCAACCCACATCGCCCCACGGCCACCCCACATCGCCCCATGGCCACCATTGCCACCCTACAGCCACCTCGTGGCCACCATCATCACCCCATGGCCACCACCACCATCACCCCACGGCCACCACCATCATCCCGTGGCCACCACCGCCAGCAACCACAGGCTCACCATGCCTGGGGGGGACACCAGACCCACACATTGACCCACAGCGACCCACAGCGTCCCACAACCAACCCACATTGCCCCATGGCCACCACCACCACCTCGTGGCCACCACCATCACCCCATGGCCACCACTCGCCCCACAGCCACCACGTGTCCCCATGGTGACCCAGTGCTGGGGCCCACACACCCCCAACGTCCCCATGGCCGACGTCTCCTTCTGCCCCACATCCCACCCCCAACGTCCCCATGGCCGACGTCTCCTTCTGCCCCACATCCCACCCCCAACGTCCCCATGGCCGACGTCTCCTTCTGCCCCACATCCCACCCCCAACGTCCCCATGGCCGACGTCTCCTTCTGCCCCACATCCCACCCCCAACGTCCCCATGGCCGACGTCTCCTTCTGCCCCACATCCCACCCCCAACGTCCCCATGGCCGACGTCTCCTTCTGCCCCACATCCCACCCCCAACGTCCCCATGGCCGACGTCTCCTTCTGCCCCACATCCCACCCCCAACGTCCCCATGGCCGACGTCTGACCCCCAAGTCCCCCCCCCACCTGCTCCATCCGAAGAGGGGGGGCAGGGAGGCGACGAGGCCGAAGATCCATGTGGCGGCGCAGCCCAGGACGGCGTGGCTGCCCCGGAAGGTGAAGTTGCCCAAGGGCTTGCAGATCACCAGGAACCGCTCGAAGGCCACCACCGCCAGCGACCACAGGCTCACCATGCCTGGGGGGGACACCCGACCCACACATTGACCCACAGCGACCCATAGACACCCCATGGCCACCCCACATCACCCCATGGCCACCACATATCGCCCCGTGGCCACCATCATCATCCCATGGCCACCATCATCATCCCATGGCCACCACCACCATCACCCCGTG